AAAAAAAAAAAAAGTGACAAATACCAAAATAACACCATCCATTTGGGCAGTATCAATAATCATGTTCTTAAAATAATCACCACGTTCAAACCAATCCATATGCTGATTATGTTAGGAAAATATAACATATTATTTCATTTTTTTATTTTCTTAAAAAGTGACAAAAACTTAAAAGGTGACAAAAAACAAAAAAAAAGTGACAATTTAAAAAAGTAACACAATGTCACTTTTATAAAATTGACGAGCAATTTTGACATCCGTAGATGGTAATGCATAAAATTAAGTGATTTTGTTAGTCAAAAAAGTGACCAAAAAACCAAAAAAATAATAGAAAATAGTGACAATCACTATAAAAAGTGTCCGAAACTCAAAAAAAGTTATGGAACTTAAAAAAAAGCAATAACTAGTTAGCAATCAAGAACATGAGGCGTTAAATGGAAAACAAATATTAGATTTTATCACAGAAAGATGTCCATAGATATATTAGATTTTATGCTTGATTAAGACCGCGAAGTGTTAGTGTGAGATAATGCTGCCACCAAATACTGCGGTCTTGTCCACCAAGGCTTTGAACATTCGTTTTTCAAACATAGAATCAGTAGTTCAAAGCACGTCTTGTTAAATTTTGGACGATGAAGTTGGTCAAACATGAACCTTCTAAAATTCTTTATAGCATTGGCTATCTATGCACAAGATGACAAAGTGAGTCGAAGATAAAAGAACTGGAAAAAGATGCAGACAGAACAGAGGCAAGGAAATTATGCAGAAGAAAGAACACACAGATCAATACATAATAACCAACAAGGCTTAATTCGATACAGAAATAGATATATAAAAGCGTGTTATTAGTTTAGTCATTTGATTCACATATTGAGTTGAATTTAAATTCTCATTGCTATCATGCCTAACTAAAACATGTATTTATATATGTTGTATTTGAGGAGCTTCTTACTAGAGTTATCAATGAATTATTAAAGAAAAAAGTACAGTTTAAGCAACCAGTTATTTTTAACTAACAAACAACCTACACATTATTAATTTTGTCTGGTTATAGGACTCCAAATTATTGCTTCACGTAACTATGTTGATACAAAGAAGCCCAAATTCAATTCCCATAGAAATAAGATATTCAACAGCATTTGTTTAGCTCATCAAAAAGAGCAGTAGTTGACAATACTTCGAACACTGAGACTTCCACATGGCTCAGTTCAAGGCAAAGAAACATTCCTCCCCGTTTAAGCACTCTGTCAAACACACCAAATGGAAAATGGAAAACAAGTTGTGAAGTATCATACAAAAATCATGGCATAATTCACACAAAAATGCATTTGGAGCAATTAATCGAATACTTGATATGCACATTAATTGAAAGGAGTAAAATTTTCTCATGATTCTATACTAAATCCAAATATTCCACAACCAATTCACAAAACCAACATCAACTACGTCCAACTCCCAACAAAACACAAAAAATTCCAACCATGAGCAGAATCTAAGACAAAGAAGAAAATTCTCGAAACCCATAAAATTGAAAGTCCACCAAAATTTGGAGAAAAAGGGGATGATGTCGATGAAAATTTTGAAAAAATCGTGAGAGAAGCCGGTTCTTTGTGTCTGTGTGTGTATGTAATTGAATGGGGTGAGTTTTGGGAAGTATAATTACTGTGATTAGAAGTTTCATTAATCTAATTGGTTTCTTTTTTAGAGTAGTGAGCCTAATTTTCCCATTAATGATTTTAATTCTTAGAATCTAGAACCATTTGTTCCGAAACTAAGAACCAAACTCAATTTCTATTATTTTACACACGCACACACATACAAATAGGTAAAAATCGCACTAAAAATATTCAACTTTGAAAATTACAAACATGAAATGGACAAGAGAGTCATTTATCATTACATTTTACTCTTATCACCTATCAGATAAAGCTGCCAAGCCCTAGATCAAAATTTTAATTCATTTCTCTCCTTTTCAATTTTAGACACACTCACACTCCAACTATCGTCTACCGTCGTGCTCCTTAACCACCATCGTCGCATGGATTTCTAAAATTGAAGTCTCAACCTTTGGTTCTTCTTCTTCAAATGTTCTCTCTTCTTTTCTTTTTTCTCGAGCAGCCACAAACTCACGTGTCTTAAATGGAGTTGAGAGACAAGAAGAAAAATTTCGAAACCCATAAATTTGAGCCAATGTACCTTTGATTTCTTAAAATTTTTATGGATGGAAGTTTGAATTCGTGGATGAATGATGTTGGGATATAATTAATCTTCAAAGTCCACCGAAATTTGGAGAAAAAGGGGATGATATCGATGAAAATTTTGAAAAAATCGTGAGAGAAGCCAGGTCTTTATGTCTGTGTGTGTATGTAATTGAATGGGGTGAGTTTTGGAAAGTATAAATTACTGTGATTAAAAGTTTCATTAATCTAATTAGTTTCTTTTTTAGAGTAGTGAGCCTAATTTTCCCATTAATGATTTTAATTCTTAGAATCTAGAACCATTTGGTTCCGAAACTAAGAACCAAACTCAATTTCTATTATTTTACACACTCACACACATACAAATAGGTAAAATCGCACTAAAAATATTCAACTTTGAAAATTACAAACATGAAATGGACAAGAGCGTCATTTATCATTACATTTTACTCTTATCACCTATCAGATAAAGCTGCCAAGCCCTATATCTAAATTTTAATTCATTTCTCTCCATTTCAATTTTAGACACACACTCACACTCCTGCACTCCAACTATCGTCTACCGTCGTGCTCCTTAACCACCATCGTCGCATGGATTTCTAAAATTGAAATCTCAACCTTTGGTTCTTCTTCTTCAAATGTCCTCTCTTCTTTTCTTTTTTTTCTTTTTTCTCGAGCAGCCACAAACTCATGTGTCTTAAATGGAGTTGAGAGACAATAAGAATATGTATTTTTGAAATTGTTTCTAGGTTTTTAGCTATATTCATAATGGAGTATTCAGTGTTTAGATCATTCTTTTCGGGTGTGGATCAAATTTTTATATGTTATGAAGAACCAAACCTAACCAAACTAGAATCATATAATTCGGTTCCGATTTGGTTACATATCTTTAAAAAGAAATTATTGGTTTTATTATCAAAAAATTCATTGGTTCATGGTTCTTTTGGAAACATAACTAATCGAAACCATGTTACCCCTACTTAAATCACTAGGTTTGAAATGAACACAGTAGAGACCATTTTTCTATGGTTAATTCATTGTTCAAGTCTACTTGATGCAAACCCTATGGGTGGTAGGTGATGCATTTTCCAAACATGGCAAAGCATTAGGAGCAATTAACGTGGCCCGGACATTGACATGAAAAAGGATAAGAAATAACGGGTTAAAGATCAGATAGTCCAGCCGACACTGAACCTGAGGTTGATTTTTCAATTCCAAGAATTAGTTTTTTCCGATTGAACTAGCCAAGCCAGTTCGAGTTTCATAACATTGAATATTGGGATATCAAACAGCTTAGATTGTGTATCACAGGGTTATAGTTCAGTAACTTCACAAGTTTTCTGGGTTTCTTGGAAGAACACAACGATCAGATGGCTTGTTTGCAGGCTGCAAATTACAACAATCGAACACCCTGTGTCCACTTTGGGCGTCGACTGAATAACATCAGTATAAAGCACAGCATATCATCAGCATACTTTGGCAGCTGTTTTAAGTGTTGAGATACAAGATGAAAAAGTTGCAAGAAAATGCAACTCTACGGCCATTTCTACTGATAAAACCACATTCTCAACCTAATAAGTTAGGCTAAAAGTACACTACAAACAACATGACTGAATAGCCAAATCTGTTTCATCACACATCTGATCAGATTAAAGACAGAATCAAACAGCAGATAGGAAGATCATCTACCCCTTAAACAATACCAGTCTCTGTCAGTTCTTTGGCGTCACTTCAAACCTAAACCTTCTGTTGTTGAGGAGGATCCAGAAACTCCATGTTCAACAGATCTAAACAGCTCTGGAGAATATGGGCCACTTTTGCTTAACTTCCCTGGGAATTTCCGACCTGGGTTGCCATTTAAGAAAAGGTTTTTTCTAAATCTATTACGATTAAGTGACAGTAATTTATTGCGAGCAGGTGTGTGCAAAGCCCCTTCAACACAATCCCCGCCCTGTGCACATCCCCAAGGCTTGGATGACCTGTCTTCACAATAAGGTTTCAGACGAGGGAAACTACTTCTTAACTTGGAAAAAACTCGCTGATCAGAAGAATTTTCTTCTTCAAATTTGACACACATGGGACATGGAGGATCATTCTTACATGCCTTTGGTGTTATTTGCTCCAAGCACTCTGCATGGAATGCATGACTACAAGAAAGGACTCCAGCAACTGGCATGTCTCCACTTTTGACAATCCTCCTAGAACTCCAAGGGGATCTCTGTGAAAGGAACCTCTCACACAATCCACATTTGAAACAATCTGATGTACTACATGATCTATTAAAAAGATCAAAATCCAAGGGCTCAGATATTACACTCAGCTCAGCACAACCACTAACAGTCGAACTATGTCTATCTTCTGGTGCAGAAATGACATCTAATTCTGACACCCGAGCAGGGGCGACACAATCAGCTTGTCCAGTGGATGTTTCTGATGGAAAGGACAAAGGATGAACTGCTTTAGACATAAAGCTGCGGCGGCTTGAGAAGTTAAGGTGATGTGACTTAACCATGGACTCGTAATCACGACTACTGTCTGATTGGGATGAAGTAGAGTCCCCACTGTCTCTAGCTGCCAACGTTCCCTGTAAAGTTCTCAGTTTAGTGATAAAATTCGATTCAACAAAATGACCAAGAAGTTATGAACAGAATATGAAACCAAAAACTAACAAAATACCTCCATCATTGGTGAAAGAGATAACGGCCTCGAAACATCTGTCAAGGGCAGATAAAAACAACAAAATCAGCACCTTATAAATAACAAAACATGGAAGAATATATGATCTCTCTTTAAGGAAATACTGCCAATAGCAAAGCAACCTAATTAACAGAGTGCTTATTCTCGTGAACATTCCCATCCAATTGAAGGCATCCCAACTACCTAAGTTGTCATTCCCTTAATTTATCCTTAGTTGATGCCACCTCTAGTTGTTGTATATTCTCATATCTTATTTATCCACTATAGTATGACCACACATCCATCTTACCACTCTCACTTCAACTACATTCATCTATTGGACATTTTGTTCTATTAGGATCACAATGCTCCCTATCATAAAGCAGGTCTAATATTTATTCATGTACAATGGGCCTATTAACCTTATAGGATCTTTTTAAACAAAATTCTTGTAGCACTTCTCCATTTCATCTAACTTGCTTTAGTCTTTGGTCCTACATTTTACTTGACCTAAAAAATTTAAATTCCAAAGTACTTCAAAGTTGTAACTTACAATTTTAGCTCCTTTTTGTTTCATTTATGCCTTCAACGAATAACATATACCCAAATGAACCTCAACTTTAATATATATTGCAAGTTCATTCATGACTTCGGCAAAAAGATAAGGACTAAAGGTAGAAGTAGAGCTAGACATGGTCCGGTTCGGTTCGGTTCTAAAAGATAAGGACTAAAGGTAGAAGTAGAGCTGGACATGGTTCGGTTCAGAACCGAACCGAACTGAACCAAAATTTTCGGATATTTAATAAATAGAACCGTCGGGTCCAAATATAATTATAGAACCGTTCGGGTTCGGTTCCGTTCGGTTCGATTCTGTTCGGTTCCGTACCATAATTAAATTTTTTAATAGATTTCTAATGGTCAACGATCGATGGTCGTGGTTGGAGGTCGCAGCTTAAATGGGCATTAGAGAGAGGATGTCGGACTCGACAGTTGACGATTTCAATTTGGGCATGTAGATGTAGGTGTTCAATTTATCAAATGATTTGTGGTAATTGACTCAGTATTTACCGAATGAAAGTGTGAAAGTGGAAAGAAAATGATAAAAATTGAAAAATGCCTAGATCTTAGGCTAAGAATGAAATTAATAATATGACCAAAAAATTAAATTAAGAAATTAGGTTGGACTGAGCTAGCTAGGCATGGGCTTGACTTGGGAGTTAAAACATTAATAATTAAATTAGTTAATTTGCTAATTTGCTTTAAAAAAATATAAAAAATTAATTAATTCAAATATAAAAAATTTAAAAAATTATTTAAATTCGGCTCTTCGATTCTGGGTCTAAAACCGGGAACAGACCAAACCAAACCCGTCAGTTCTCGATTCAGATACCCGTTCGGATATTTAACTTATGAAGAACCGCTCGATTCGGTTCAGTTCGGGTTTGGTTTGGGTTTGGTCCGGTTCGAGAGTTTTGTCCAACCTTAGGTAGAACAGTGAATCGCTATCATCCCTCCCTCCCTCTATTCCTTCTTTAAAGGGGATTTGCTGTTGAGATACAGAAAAATTTCACCCATAAACCACAAGTAAAACATCATTATAGGTGGAGCGTCCTTATGGATGAGTAGAGCAATCCATAGAAATCTAGGCAGCATTAGCAAAGTAGCAGCTATTGACAAAAGCAAAAGTAGTGCAACAAATAGATTGAAAATTGTTTCAAGATGTAATGTGGCACAATTGGTTTTAAAAAGTAGAAAAAGTAAAAAGATGCATATAGCCAGCAAATTGCCTAGACAAAATAAATACAGTTCTTGGAATGTGAAAAATATCACGAGCAAAATGAAATATTGACTTTCATACCTCTCCTTGAAGTACCATAATCATCAACACTTATTTCTTGCATTGCTGGGGGAGTCCACTGCTGAGAAGGAGAGACGTCCGATGGACTAAAATATGGACCAACACTGTCAGATATAAGATATTGGGGATTAGGAAGATTGTTTCCTCTCATCCAACTTCTACTTCCTCTGCTGTTTGTTGATGTGGTAGAACCCAAATGAACACCATCATGAGAACCAAATGACAGCGCTTCTTCATAATGGAAACCAAAATCCCATCTTGATGGGGGTGGTGAAAAGCTTGTATTAGTTCGCCAGTAGTGTTCGTCTGGCCCCACAGACCACTCCCTGTTGGGAGTATTAGATCCATGTGGCCTTGCAGCCACACAACAAAGGGACCCCGTTTTAGCTATCTTTCACAAGATTCACCAGAAACCTAATCGTTGCTCAGATCGCTCAATCTTTGCAAGGCTCAAAGGATTACAACGACTAATCCTTTTTTTCTTTTTTCCCTCCCAAGTCCTTAAAGTCAGGCTTCTCACAGTAAATTAAGTTTCATCAGCACATCAACTATAACCTGACAAAATTATGACACAATTGGGTCCACAAAAGCCTAAGTCTGATCGAGATTGATCCCCACAGAAAAACGCGAATCCAACATGCTTCACCAGTACATTTAGCCTCAAATTTATTGATTCTCTCCCCCTGCTGAAATATGTTGAAATAAACAGAAGTCCAACACCTGAAATCAAAGAAGAAATATAGATAGTGTAAATTGAACAGAAAATATTGAAATTCATATTTACCATGCATCAAAATACCAAATCAAAAGAAGAAATTTTTTTTTAAAAAAATTCTATTGACAAAATGCTCAGCTGAAAATGAACAACAATAATAATACCCTTTATATTTAAAGAATGCTGAAAGTAACAGATATGCAACCAATAGTATAGAGAACCCAAAAGTTTCATTTTCTAAAAAAAATTGAAATTCTCCCACCAATTCTAGTTATTCTCATTTCTAAAGTTCAATAATTCTACCAAGCACTCCTACTTCAAAAATCTAAAAATAATAATAAAAAAAAATTAGAATTTTATCATTCAAAAACTAACCCATAAAGCTCTGTACAACTTGCTAGAGAAGAGAAAACCCAAATAAGGAACAAACTTTAGAAAGCACCAAAGCTTCTATAGAAGACAGTTAACTATAATAATAGTATTTTTATCTAGAAGGCATTCACAATCATTAAAAATTAATGCAAACCATAAACGAAGAAAAAAAAAATGTTAAAAAAAAAGAAACTCCACATAAAAAAATAAAATCTGCTACCAAATATTAACAACAAAAATATCAGTTAATAAAACAAAGGCCAAAAACGCACTTCGCCTGAGAAATGAAACTCTAACAAGTATTACAATCGTGAGCTGCATACAGTAAAAATTAAAAATTACCTGTAATTGTAACCAAATCAAAAGAAGAAAAAAAATTTTAAAAAAATTCTATTGACGAAATGCTCAGCTGAAAATGAACAACAATAATACCCTTTATATTTAAAGAATGCTGAAAGTAACAGATATGCAACCAATAGTATAGAGAACCCAAAAGTTTCATTTTCTAAAAAAATTGAAATTCTCCCACCAATTCTAGTTATTCTCATTTATAAAGTTCAATAATTCTACCAAGCACTCCTACTTCAAAAATCCAAAAAAAAAAAAAATTAGAATTTTATCATTCAAAAACCAACCCATAAAGTTCTGTACAACTTGCTAGAGAAGAGAAAACCCAAATAAGGAACACACTTTAGAAAGCACCAAAGCTTCTACGGAAGACAGTCAACTATAATAATAGTATTTTTATCTAGAAGGCATTCACAATCATTAAAAATTAATGCAAACCATAAACGAAGAAAAAAAATGTTTAAAAAAATAGAAACTCCACAGAAAAAAAATAAAAAAATAATCTGCCACCAAATATTAACAACAAAAATATCAGTTAATATAGGATAAACAAAGGCCAAAATGCACTTCGCCTGAGAAATGAAACTCAACAAGTATTACAATCGTGAGCTGAATACAGTAAAATTAAAAATTACCTGTAATTGTAGAGAGAGNAAAATTAAAAATTACCTGTAATTGTAGAGAGAGAAATAGTAGCTTGCGATAGGACAGAGATACTCTGAAGAGAACCCTACTTTGACTGAGAATAGCGCGATTATTTAAGTGGGCAATTTGCACAAATATCCTTCTAATATACGATATTTTCGTTTTCGACCCACTAACTTTTCATTAATGATTACATTTACTTTTAGTTTTGAGTCTAAACTAAAAAATATTGATTGATTAAAAAACAAAATAATATTTCTTCATTTTCCTATTTTCACATGAAATAAATTCCAATTTTTTTTCCATTCCTCAAGTTCCTCCGATATAACTAAAATTTAACAATTTCGACCTTTTAGAATTTTAATTATATTGTCTCTGCGTCCCTTCGACCAACTGAAGAATAACTTTCAAAATATAACAAATTTGCCCCATATATTTGAAATTTAGACACATTGTCTTTGCATATTTGCCATAGTTTTACTTCATAAGAAAGCTTTCATATTTCTGTTCTTGTTTATAAGTATTAAAAAATTAAAATATATGAATCATTATTCCACTAGAAATATGCTTTATAAGTAATCATGGCCCACATCTTAGCTGGTATCTTTTTTTAATTATTGGTCTTTTCAAGATAATTTAGGTTGCCAGAGTGCTAATCCTTCATTATTCCCAAAACCTAAACAAATTCAACCATTCCTATGAAAAGTCCTAATTATTTGTTAACCGAAAAGATTATTAGCACAAGAGTTAAGAACTTGTTTGGCTAAGATTAAAAGTTTTATTTATAATAACTTAAAACATTAAGATCATGTTTATTCTAAAAACAACAAAGGAACGGCACGATGAATTCCAACGAACATACTTACATCATGTGGTTGAGACGAGATGCATTTATTTAACTAGCTCGACGGTCCAAGCAATCTATAAATTTAGTGGGCAGCAGTATGACAGCTCTTATAATTTGACCCGTTGAGGCACATCCCGCGATTTACCTCATTCACTATGCTCTAGGGACGGAGCGATGGGGAACTCTCAAGGTTAGGGTTCAACCTTTTTTTTTTTTTTTTAAACTTAGGACCATGCTACATATATCGAACTTTTTTTACCTAATCATTTACTAACTAATCACAATAGGAGGTGGGACCACATCTTGGAATTTTTTTATTCACGTGGGGCCCGCGCATGTGAGAATGGGTAAACAATTCGGTACATTAAATTATGTATAAATATCTTTAGCCATAAACTTAACATGCACCTGAAACTTTTGCTATTTAACTCGCTCGATGGTCCAATTTTTTGTTATGCAATTATACATAATTCACCCTTTTCAATTTTCAAATTTACTTCTTGTTTCTTAAAAATTGGAGAAACACAGTCACTTCGTAGTTGCTAATTTTTGAAAGGAATGCAATTATGGCCAATGGAGGAAGAGAGACAAAACCCGCATATTCTGATGTAAAACAATCCTATTGTAAATAGAATAGAAGTTAGTTATTATATAGAACATGGTTTTTCTTTCCTTTTAGGATTCTAATTTTCTTTCCTTCTAGAATTGAAGTTTAGTTTCCTTATATGGGTAAGGTTAGGAGATTATTTTTTCTATATAAATAAAGGTTTAGTACACTTTTCAATTAACAAATTCATTACAATCAAATTATTCTCTACATATTTTTTTAGCTTTTCAACTTTCTTCTTGTTTTCAAGTAACCAATAACGCTTCTGCTACTTATGAGCATGGATGGGAAGATGGTGCCTACAAGCACGGAGGCGATCATGTCGTTGCCGAAGAAGAAGATGGTCGTCGATAGCGGGGATGAAAGATGCATTGTGTGCTTGGAAGATATTCCCATGGAGACAATGGTCTCGAACTTGCCATGTTCACATATTTTTCACACCAATTGTATTACAGAATGGCTCAACACAAGTCATCGATGTCCTATTTGTCGGTTTGAGATGCCCAAAGCATTCAACATAACAAAAGAGAACTGGATCTCAAGCTTGAATGACGTAGACTAGTTTTAGGTTTAAAAGGTCTCGACTCAGGAGTTTTAGCAATTACTGTAAGCGACACCTTTTCTTTTTAAGCCTTTCCAGTTAGATATGGAGTATAGAATGGGCCTGTTGTAAAGATCAGGATACTTTAGTAGGGCTGGATCGTGGACACAACGAGCTCCTATGTTAATGGGCTCATGTAGGATTGGCCTAATAAAGATCATTAAGAAGCCTGTAAAAACAGCCCAGTCGCAATGTAACATTCTAAAATTATTCACTTCTCTTAACATGATTAAGATCTTGAGATGGAATTCAAAGTCTCAATAAATACATGATGTGCACTAACACTTTTCAATAACCTTTAGAGGTTCAAGTGAAAACAGAGTTTTATGTATACATTTGTTAACAAGCATTTAACTTAACCGCAAGCCTATTTTCTCGCATGATAATAAACTCGATGTACTTTTTGAATTCCGTTGCCAAACTATAAAACGTCGGAGATTTAGCAATGCCCTCCAGTGAGTTTGAACAAATTGACGACACGGTGTTAACACATAACGGCGCAAAGATGAACAAATTTTTCAAATGAAGTTGTTATAAAATTATATCACTTTGCACGCGAGGAACATAGCAAGCATTATAAATTTTCAGACCTTCGATAAAACAATAGATAAATCGCACACCTACCAGTAAAAATATGCTCATCTGCCTTGGATTGGTAGTTGCACATTGACAAGCTCTTGGGATAACAGAGAAAAGTATCAAAATATTCATCTATGCATAAAGTAAATCAGTGCCACTTTGGAGCTACTTGCGAGCTACTCCATAGACATGGGGATTCACTATTAACGCAGTAGATAAAACAACCTCATTAATATCAAGATCTGAAAAGCCAGCTTTAGCTATACTATTTCCCGTATTCCTGGTGAGATGACACCCATCAGCAATCGTCTGCTGCAACGGATCAAGAACCCCCTGTATGAATCTACGAATTGTCCGATCTGCCAATAAAAACAAAACAGACCTCAGCGAGAGGATGGCAAGGGTATGAAGAAGTTAGGGATGAATTCAGTACAACAATCTTTATTGGCAAAAGTAAAATTAGAGATTTGATTTATTACCTTTTGCAGCCACATGTTCAACAAAAACATAAAAACCGCCTGGCTTCAGCACCCTCTTTACCTCTGAAAACAAAGATATATCGTTAAATTAGCACCTAAGGTCAAACAGGAGTGAGATAGACCAGCAGTTTACACATTATGCATTATTTTTTTACATCTTTCACATGTTCTATTATTAACGTAGAGCGACAACAATCAACATGTTAACCTCAAATAGCTTCGAAGAAAATACAATATCCTATTACTGATGTTAATTACTCGAATTGCAGTTCTCTATTACAGAACATGGTATGCTTTATGAACCAGATAACACAATTGAGGACATAACTATTTTGTTTGTCAATTAGATGTGTCGTGAAGGATATTTTTTACCATTTGGCCTTCTAGAAGTCCAGATTTTCTACATTTAGAGCTTATGATTTCTGACATGTATACCTTGCAACGCCATGTCAACATCTTTTACAGAACATAGAACAAGTGTTCCAACAACCGCATCAACAGAAGCATCGTCTAGTGGCAAAGCCTCTGCAACCTGCATAACATTAACAAATTCAGCCAAAACGTTTTGGTACCCGTGTTTCTTCAAAGAGAGATCATCAATTCAACAGAATCAATAAAGAATCAGTCTATCATTGTTAAGCTTTATGGTAAGAAGCGAGAAGACCAATGTACCGGAAGTGTAACAACCACGGACTTTCTCCATCTTGCCCTTTTTTCATCAGTTTGGGTCCATGACTATTCCCTGTATCATTAGCTTATGTACTATCCTCTGGAGGGGCCTGGTGTAGATTTTAATTTCACATTCCTAGTTATTCAAACCCATTACATCCTCTTAAGTAGAACTTGAGGTTGAATGATGGTACCAATTGAGCAACTTGCCCAATTAGTGCTAGGACATGAAAGAAATCCATGTTGGTGCACAACCTCTAGTGGAAAATACATATCCACAGAATAGCTCGTGATCATTACAGAAAGCATCAACCCATTGACCAAATATGTAATGTTTTACAATGACTGTTTTAAGGAAAATGATATAAACATAGAACTTAATAAACCTCTAGTTAATCTCATTGCATTTCAAGGAAAAATACGTACTGCTTGCATAAAGCTGAAATTCGAAGGTTGAAGCCCTGCAGCCTCTGCGGCCGCCACTGCATATTTCTTCATCTTGCTGATTGGATCAATGCCAAACACGTGGATACCCGGGTCATTTGCATAGTATTTCAAATTGGGACCAGTTCCAATTCCAATCTCCACAATTTTTTCAACCTTCCCACTCAAGCTAGAAAAAAGTTTCGCTTTATAACCTGCAATCTTACCATATACCGGCACAATTCAAGGTATAAAAATCTAACCTTAAAGAATAACATAAAAATCGAACAAGTTGTTCCAAAGAGGTCCCTAACCTCAGCTTCATAAGATTTCGTTATCTTGTTCAAAGCAAATGCATATAACTCCTCGTACCATCCTGGCCTAGGAGGATGAATCCTATTCAACATTTCCTGCATTAAATATATAATTTTTTATTTATATTATCCTACCAAAAAATAGGGTTTTCTATGTAGAAATCACCAGCCGAATTCATCGATTCTTGTGGAAAATTTGAACCAATTGTGTTATACTAGGTATAGCATGGAAAAATGCAAAAATCTGAAACTTTCAACAGTAAATTAACTCAAATACAGTAATTAAATGTCAAATTACAGCAATAAGAATCGAAATAGTACCATGGGATCATTTTTATCCGAGGCAAATGACGGACTGATGGGCAAAAATCCTGTTTCCATAAAATTTCTTCTGCTGCTACAAGAACAGTCTTCCACCGCTACATACAAACAAATCTGCTGTTCTTTTCTTTGATTCTTCTGGGGCCACTGTCTGAAATTGAGGAAAATATGCTCCTAACACTTTATATTTCTGGCTTTACTCTTTCTGTTTTTGCAATTCTTATAGTAATTTTGTTTAAATTTTGTAGAACCCCTGAGGTTTTCGTAATTCACAAATATCTCTCTTTGATTTTTATTTATTGGGGACCTATAGTCAATGTAAATTGTCAAAATAACTTACTTAGCTTGTACGTAACTTCTTAAGCTTAGTCAAACATTGCGCTGTGCGCATAGGCCAAAAAATAAATACTATGCAATATTCATGTGGGCCACTATTGTTGGAGCATTTGACTATGACTTTTAAATAACAAATAAGGATCGTCCTACATGTACCGAATTTCTTTACTTAATCTTTTACCAACTGCTCACAATAAAGATGTGGACCACATTGTTGAAATTTTTAAATACACACAGACCTCGCACATTATGTAAGAGGGAGTAATACATTATGTACAAACCATTATGTACAAAAGGATTAACTCAACAAATAAGTGTCTGCCTTTTGTCGGCGACTAGCAAGCTACAGGTTGGTAGGGCGGGATGTGGCTTGGCGGGGCGGGGATCGTCGCCCCGTTTCGAGGCCGTGAAGAATTAAAAAAATAAATTGTTTTAGACATTATTTGTTTCGAGTGCTTCCATGCACTTGACATTAAAGTAAAGGAAATGATCTTCCAGAAGAAAAAAGGTAAAGCTTAATAAGCGTGACTGAACATTGAACTTAAATAAGGGTTTCAATTTAGTCGTCAAACTTTCAATTTGTTCTAAATTAATCATCTAACTTTAATATATGTTTTACGTTGGTCACCGAACTTTATTTTATTTCCCATTAGTCAGTCAACGATAAAAATTATTTAACGCTGGCCACTGTATTAGTCTCATTGCTACTAAGAAATCATATACCTAGCATCAAACTAAGAAGTCGTCGAACACCTCAAATTTAGCATTAATTTTGAAAAAATGGAGATGAATGCAATAATCAAAACTTTAATGACTGAATTAGAATTAATTAAAGTTTAATGATCAATACGAAACAAAAAGTTCACTGACTGATAGGAGTTAATTAAATTTTAATGATTAACATCAAACAAAAGTTAAAAGTGGATAACTAATTTGGAATAAATTGAAGTTGAGTGATCAGATTGAAATCTACATATAAGTTCAGTAAACTTTTTGAAAAGTTACACCAAAAGTAAACTTTTTGAAAAGTCGTGTTAGATTTGATTGAATATGATAACATAATTGATTATGAAATTATCGTGATTGTCATTTTGTCACCACTTACGGGCTATGGAGCCATGAAAGGGAAATTTTCATTGAAAGTCCACAACTTATGTATTTTCTGCAAATGAATCCTCAACTTTTTAATTATAGACATTGTAATCATTAACTTTAAACGTTGTGGGAGAAATAGTCCCTATGACAAATACCATCTAATATTCTAATTAATCGATAAATGTAAATTCTTCCAAAAGTGTAACGTGACCACAAATAATTTAATAAAGATAATAAAAAATAAAAAAAGGGAAAATACATTTTCAACGGAAATGTGAAAAAAAAAAAAACAAAATAATTCAATTTCTAGTAGACACAAGCAAAAGTTAACTGAGCATAAATTGTTTAGAGAAATTTAAGATATTTGTCTTATAAACAGTAATATAACAAACATCTTCGGAAAGGAAAATGATAAGGAAATGTCATTAGAAAACATGCTATAGATATTAGATACAAAGGAAACGCTTTCAACCATACAACAGAAAAACCCAGGACAGGAAAAATAGAAGGCTTATGAAGCAAAGTTAATGTAACCTAGTCAGCTCTTCTACTCCCTTCATTAATTCATCCACTGAAACACGCATTGCCTTAGAAATCTCCTCCATCCGATTCCAGCCAAGATCCAGGAACGACTCGATCAAATCGCCATCCAAAAAGTTCTTAGCATCAATAGTTTTCTTCTCATTGTAAAAAGACCTCCACTACTCATGGCCTAGTCCTCCCACGCCCTTTAGTACTTTTCTGAGATTCGTTTGCAGTTTTTCCATGAAAACGTACTGCTCGTAAGGAAGAGAAGCAATAACCCTGATAACACCGTTGACAGTGCCGAAAATTACAGTTGGGATTTGGCCAACATTAGAATCTGCTAATCGCATTACAAGAGAACCATGTCGAAATCGATTAACAAATTCACCGAGGTGATATTCGCCAACCACCTCGAGACGTCCATGTTCCTCGTCGGTGCCACCTTCCGCTGACCCTGAAAACGTGATCCTGACGTGAACAACAGATGTCGAGCCCACTCACACGAACTCAAGCAAATTCTGGCGCGTTTTGACCGAAGTACCTGAAGAAACTCATGATGTGAGACACATGTGTTTGAGCACCGACGAGTGAAATAAAGATGTTTGCGCTAACAACAATCATTAATCAAATGCCTACGATTATCCACTAAAGATCAAACTAATAAATATGGAACATGCAAGATGATATATGGAAAAAATTATTTTTGTGTTTCTTTTTAGATTTTTTTCCCATAAGCCCTTTCCATTTACAAGGACTTCATATTTATAGTGACATCATCTCCTTGACTAAGGCATCACATAACTATCGTCATACAATAAATACATTAACAGGTCAGTCGCCCTATACATTAGGCTAACACAAATGACATTCTTCATTACAAATGTTACATCAATCATTCATACAAATTTTGTAGGAGACAGCTTCGGCTTCAGATGAACTAAGGCCTCGATTGGGAGAAACTTTGTATCGATCTTCTGTGTGAAGAGTTCCGTCTTCTTCTCTAACTTCTTTAGGTAGCACTTCAGCATAATAGAAAGCGTTCGACCATTTAGGCAATGCTTCGACACAATAGCTTCAGTCATTCATTTGATCTCTTTACATTTGACCAGTTGACTTTTCTTTCCACGTGGATTGCTACGTAGCATTTTGACTTGAGCTTTAGTGACGAGGCGTAACAATAGTCTCCCAAATTTAGGCATGATTATTTATGTAATGCATACATTGTATGTGTAAAATTTTGTTATGGGGTGATTTTTACCACGCCACAATAATATGTCAATTCTAAGTATAAACATTCATATTATAGTTAGAATTTAAATGTACCTGACTTGCATGAATTCCCTGTTAGTGTTGTCCGAATTTGTGTACACTGGAACATCTCACTTTCTGGAACAATTATGAGGAATATCAGCAAGGCAAGTTAAGTTCGAGGCTGTTTTATCCGGAGTACCTTTATACATCTAAAGCCTGTTCCGAATTGGTTGAGGTAGGGACTCTGTCTCTTGCCGATGCTTCAATTCACAAATTACGAGGAGCCATGTTTTCAAAACATTTGGGGTCCACGAGGCGTTCTCATTACTTCAAATGATTTGCTTTTTTTGTACGTTTTCAAGAAAAAGCAATTGAAGCGGTTCATCTTCCCATACACAAAACCGTTACGGCATTTAATGCGCAATGATGGCTATCGTGCGCATGTCCTACGAAGTTTAGGCGCATAATAGTGCGTGACGAAAACGCTCTGATCTGGGCCGTAGAAGATGAAGCAGTAGATGGATTGAGTGGCTTATATTTGAACCTCAAATGAACGGTCAAATAGTCCGGATCGTCATCTAACGATTAGGATTAAGAACTTCCGCCTATAAAAGGCAACGGTTTATAGCAAAAAATCACTTTGCCTTTCACACAATTAGCATTCATATTTTCCAAAATCTCTCATTCTCCTTTCTTTCTCATTGCATTCATCGTTTCCGGGTATTCTCTTTCACCATTCTTCCATTTGATTCGTAAGTATTTTAAAACTTTAACTTCTAAAAATAAATAGTATTTTCACACCCTACTAGGGGGATGTAGATCTTACCAAAGTATCTGCTGAGATGGGTGTACAAATAACTAATACTGCATACCCGATTCGTGCCTTCCAAGCCGGGCATAATGTTTTGCCTTCTGGGGAGGGTAGGAGAAGCAACAGAATAGCTTGAGGGCAACTAAAATCCCTTCTACTGTAAATCCATCACACTTAGCAAACCTTAGGGAAAATATTGTATCCCCTACGACATAGAGCTTATGTCCTCCACTCTTGACGAGCCAACCTGTTTTCCTAAACAGGGTTGTGTTACTGTCGTGAGTTTCTTTTGAACGCAGGCCTTCGATTGCCCATTCACCCATTTTTTAGAGTTGTCCTCAGGTTGTACGTGTTGACTACTACCCAACTCGTCCCCAATGCTTTGGCCCAACTAGTGAGAGCTTATTTTCTTTGGAAAAGACTTTCCTTGGAGAGGACATGCCCCTCAACGTCTTTCAAACCATTTTCAAACCCCGGGTCCTCGGAAAAGGAATTCCAAGGGGTGGTATTTCTTATGTATGTGGGGCTCACATTCCCCCTTTGTCTTTGGCATTCTCCCTCCATCAATGGACGGAAGGAGACGTGATTTTGGATGAGGGAGAAGTGACAAGAATATGAGGGTGACACAGTCCCCCACGTGAGAGTTTCGACTTCCTACTCCGAAGCTCATGAGTGTTGTATCTGCCTTTTGATTTCCAAGTATTAATGATTCTGATGTTAACCTTTTTTCTGATGTCTTGCAGGGTCTGTTGAACGGTTCAAGCTTAGCCAAAGCGAGTGGGAGGTTCTTGCGAACATATACCGCCGCCCCTCATCTTCTCATGAATTTGACCGTTTGATCCTTTCCAGACGATTTTTTGAAGAATTCTGTCTATTGACCCAAAGAAGTACTGTTTGTTTTGCAATAAACTTTATTTGCTTGTTTGCATAATTATCACCGACCTTGTCCTTTGCCTTTGTAGAAAATTTTGAAAAGAGGAGACACCCCCACGTCTAACATGGCCACTACACTGGCTGCTACATCCACCTCTAGGAGAAAAGGGCACAAGCCTTCATTTGTTGCGGACAAACATGTGAGGGACCAAGTGGAGAGGGTCAGTCATGATGCGGCAGCCAAGAAGGGGACGGGCGACCTCCCATGAAGGATAAAGGGAAAAAAATTTCACTCCTCGAGTTACTCCTATATAACGAAGAATTAACAATTTCGACCTTTCAAAATTTTGATTATATTATAATATTTTCAGTATCTCTTGCGACGCTTCGGCCATCCAAAGAATAACTAGCAAAATATAACAAATTTGCCACATATTTGAAATTTAGGCACATTATCTTTGCTACTACTATGATTCCATATTTGCAATAGTTTTTCTTCATAAGAAAGCTTTCATATTTCTGTTCTTTTTTATAAGTGATTAATTGGAATAAAAAACTTAAATAATGAATCATTATTCCACTATAAATATGCTTTATAAGTAATCATGGACCCCATCTTAGCTGTTATCTTTTTTAATTAATTATTGATCTTTTCACGATAATTTAGGTTGCCGGAATGCTAATCCGTCATTATTCCCAAAACCTAAACAAATTCAACCATTCCTATGAATAGTCCTAAATTATTTGAAAACCGAAAAGATTATTAGTACAAGAGTCAAGAACATGTTTGGCTAAGATCAAAAGTTTTATTTATAATAACTTAATTAATTTGACATTAAGATCATAGTTATTCTAAAAACAAGAAAGGAATGACTCGAGGAATTTCAACGAACATACTTACATCATGTGTTTGAGACGAGATGCATTTATTTAACTCGCTAGACGGTCCAAGCAGTCTATAAACTCAACATGCACATGAAACTTTTGCTATTTAACTCGCTCGATGGTCCAATTTTTTTGTTATTCAATTATACGTAATTTCCCCTTTCCAATTTTCAACTTTACTTGCTGTTTCTTAAAAATTGGAGGTACATGGTCGTTTGTGGTTGCTAATTTTTGAAAGGAATGCAATTATGGCCGATGGAGGAAGAGAGAGAAAACCCGCGTATTGTGATGTAAAACAATCCTATTATGAATATGATAGAAGTTAGTTATTATTTAGAGAATGATTTTCTTTCCTTTTAGGATTCTAATTTTCTTTCGTATTAGAACTTTAGTTTAGTTTCCTTATATTGGTAAGATTAGGAGATTATTTTTTCTATATAAACAAAGATTTAGTACACTTTTCAATTAACAAATTCATTACAATCAAATTATTCTCTAAATATTTTTTAGCATTACTACTTTCTTCTTGATTTCAAGAAACCAATTTCGCTTCTGCACCATATCGTACTTACGAGCATGGATGGGAACATGGTACCCACAAGCACGGAGGCGATCATGTCGATGGTCGTTGATAGCGGAGACGAAAGATGTATGTGCTTGGAAGATATTCCCATGGAGACAATGGTCTCGAACCTGCGATGTTCACATATTTTTCACACCAATTGTATTACAGAATGGCTCAACATAAGTCATCGATGTCCTATTTGTCGGTTTGAGATGCCCAAAGCATTCGACAAAACTAAAGAGAACTGGATATCAAGCTTGAATGACGTAAACTAGTTTTAGGTTTAAAAGGTCTCGACTCGATCGCTACTAATTTTCAATTTTGAGTTTTAGCCATTACTGAAAGGGACACCGTTTCTCTTTAAGCTTTTCCAGTTAGATATGGAGTATAGAATTGGCCTATTGTAAAGATCAGGATACTTTAGTTGGGCTGGATCATGGGCACAACGGGCTCCTACTTAATGGGCTTATATGTAGAATTTGCCCAATAAAGATCATTAAGAAGCCTGTAAAAACAGCTGAGTCTCTCGGCCCATCGCAATGTAACATTCTTAAAATATTCACTTCTCTTTAATATGATTAAGATTTTGAGATGGAATTTAAAGACTCAATAAGTACTACATGATGTGCATTTACGCTTTCCAATAACCTTTAGAGGTTCAAGTGAAAACAGAGCTTTATGTATACATTTGTTAACAAGCATTTAACTTAACCGCAAGCCTATTTCTCACACGATAATAAACTACAAAACATCGGAGAAATCGAATCTGCCGCACACCTACCTGTAACTATATGCTCATCTGCCTTGGATCGGTAGTTGCACATTGACAAGCGCTTGGGATAACAGAGAAAAGCATCAAAATATTCCTGATTAATATCAAGACCCTGAACAATCACTGCCACTTTGGAGCTACTTGCGAGCTACTCCATAGACATGGGGATTTATTATTGACGCAGTAGATAAAACAACCTCATTAATATCAAGACCCGAAAAGCCAGCTTTAGCTATACTATTTCCCGTATTCCTGGTGAGATGACACCCATCAGCAACAGTCTGCTGCAACGGATCAAGAACCCCCTGTACGAATCTACGAATTGTCCCATCTGCCAATAACAACACAACAGACCTCCGCGAGAGGCTGGCAAGGGAATGAAGAAGTTAGGCATGAGTTCAGTA